GTTGGTTTTTACGGAAAGGTGTGTCAAGTGGAAAACGGTAAATATGCATTAGCAGCAACCAGAAAAATTTTAGTACAAACAAAAATATTTATACAACTAAAACAAACAAAAAATTAAAAACTTTTATAAAACTAAAAACAAAAATTAATTAAAATAAATAAATAGAAAAAATTGTATTCAAAATTAAAATTGTTTTTAAAATTTTTAATTAAACAAATCTTTATAAAATTTATTTGAAAAATTTAAAAAAAAAAGTATAATTACAGAAACAATTACAAATTCTCTTTTTTATATAATAATATTACTTTTTATAATTTATTAATTTTTGGTAAATCTTATATCAAATGTTTCAGAAAAATTATTTATAATAAAAAATTCATTAAAACATAAATTATTATTTCCATTTAATATTTTTATATTTTCATTTAAAATTAAAAAAAAATCTTTATAGAATTTTCAAAAAAATTAAAAATTTTTTTATAAATTCATAAATTAAAAAACTTTTTACAAAAAAAACTAAAAAAAAGTTTAATTATAAAAAATATTAGCTGAATATATATTTTGAATTATATTTTTATAAATTTTTATTTTTTGCTATCTTTCATACATAAAGTTTTGTTATAATTTACTTAAAATTTCCTGGTTTTTAGTTTTTGAAAAAAAGGTTTATAAAATCATAAAATAAGAATAATATGTTACAAATTTTTTTGTTGAAATTAACATCTAAGTACTCAAATACATATATTTTGAAAATTTATAAACAACTTTTATATACGGAATATTTACAGAAAAAAAGCGTTAATTTGAATTCTTCTGTTAAAAAAAATTTAATTAAACAGAATTACATTTTTTTTCGCACGAAAATTTTTCCTGGTTGTTTGATTTGCAAAAGCATAATACATAAAAATGTTATAAAAAAAATTATAAATTTCTTATGTTATCAAATATCTTTTCTTTAAATTTTTTACCAAAATTGTGTACTCAAATACTTCTATTTAGAAAACTATATATAGCAAAAAAATATTAAGAAAATTTAATTAGAAAACCTACTTATATTTAAAATTTTTAATAAAAAATGTTATTTTTAAATTTTGTCATAAAAAATGTTTGGTAATATTTTTTTGCTTTTGCTTAAATTGAAATTGAAATATTTTTCATAAATTTCATTTAACGACTTGCAAATATAATAATAATTGGAAATTTTAAAATTATAGCTTTTTATAAATGTTTTGTCATCAAAAATTAGTTCTCAATAATTTTTATTAAAAAACATTGAAGATTTTATTTTTTTACATTTATTACTTGTAAATATTATGATCATTAATAAATTTTATAAAAATTTCGAAATTAATTGCTGTCTACAAAAATACTTTTTATATTTTCTATAACTTTTTAGTATTATAATTTATAAAAAATGAGTGCAGTATGAAAAATTCAAATTTATTTGTCGTAAAAAATTTTTGGAAATTTTATTTAAAGTAAGCTTAAAGTTAGTTATTATATGAAATTTGTTACTAGTGGAGAAAAATTATCAACTATATACAATACAAGTATGTGTCAAATATGTAAAATATCTAATTAGTTATGCACGTATGAAGTGTTTTCATGTTTTCATAAATTTTTTAATAGTAAAAAATAACTAGTTTTATGTGTATATATTTTTCAAATAGTTTTTGTTTATTTCCTTTTTTTTTTTTGGTTCTCACATTTTTTTGGTATCTGTGCAACTATTTGTTGTGAGTTGCACGTGTTTTACTTTCATTACATTTTGTTATCAGTTGGAGATTGTCATACATTTCCAGCATTAGATGATTTTTTTTTAACGATTAAGTTTACTTTTTTCTATTATATGCTTTTCTTAAAAATTTCTATGAATTTGCTGCTTTAAACATACAATTTTAAGTTTAGCAATTTTAATTTGTAAATTTTTGTTTTATACACAATTTTTTAATTTTTATGTTATTTTTTAAGTTAATTTTTTTACATTAAAATTTAGTCGCACATTTTATTGTTGTTTTTGTTACATATGTATGCTTTTAAATTTATTATTATTATTTTTTTGTTGTAATTCTCAATTCTAAACATTTATATAATACTCGTTTATTCGTTTTAAAGCTATTGCTATTGCCCTTCGGCTTTTAATATCCGATATGAATTTTCGAAATTTGTTTTCCGTTATTTGTGTAAATCGAAATTGCCTAAAAACAAAATCGGTGTTGAGTTTTACTATTGTTCGAAACCATTTTTTCTCTTTTATTTGCTGTGTACTAGTTGTAAAGAAATTTATATATTTTTTTTTTGTTTATTTATTATTTAAATTTTTGTATGTACATATTTTGTGTATTTAAGGAAGCAAAGAAAGTTTGTTGTTTGGCAAAATTTGATAAATTCTGTATTGTGCCTTAAAAACTGATTTTGAACTGAAAAATATTATTTGATATTAGATATTTAATTCAATTGTAAATATTTAAACTTTTTTGCGTATTATTTTTAATTTTTTTCTTTATTCAAATTTTGTATTAATTAAAAAATATGAATTAAGAAAAATTTTAATGACAAATTTTCTTTTTGGCTTCAATACAAAATTTAATAAATTTTGAAATTTTTTGTTATAAAATTTATTTCCACTTCCAGTACTTTCTTCAGTATTTGAAAAAATATTCTATTATTTTAGAGTACGGAATGTTTTTGAAAATTATTGGAATTATTTTTGTTGTTTTGTTGACTGCGTTTTTTATTTGAAGTATGATTTTATAGATTTCCTTTCGAGTGCAGCATTTGACAATTTATATTTGTTGTAAATATACTCTTTGCAACATGACGATAAGAACACCACATCACTGCCACATATATACACAGCTAATTTGGTTATACATAGCTAATTGGTTTTTCAGGCAGCGACTTAATTGAGTCAATAAGTAAATTTTCCACACTTAAGCATTTAGAAAAAAATTGTTAATTATGTACTTTTTATACTTAAGTATTTGGAAAAATTTTGTTGTCTCAATTAACAAATTACCTAAGTTAGATGAAAACGTTTAATTGAATCAGTCGTCAATTTGCCTATATCTAACAGTTTAGCAAAAATATGTTAATTGATACAATTAGCGAATTCATTAAAATTATGCATATCGACTAAATAGTGCTAATCGACTCAATTTAAGAGCTGTCTGAATCACCATTTGTTATATTTTTTTCATTCAAAAATACTATCTAAATTAATTCAGCTGTCTATAGTTTTTTTTATTTCGAGTAGGTATAGAAAATAGTGTTTCTTCATATAGTGGTTACAGATTTACTAAATCAGTAGTAGTTGTATTTATTGATTTTGTTATACCATTTAATTTGTGAGTTGGTAGTTACAAGGTTACACCTTAGATTTGTGTAACGGCCTGTAGAAAAACTTATTGTACAATTAAATATTTCACTGAATGCAAATATATAAATGGCCGGAGAGGCAAAATATAAAATATTGAACAAAAAGGCAGAGTTAAAAAATATAAAACACGATTGTTTCGGAACGAAATGAACATTTAAAGAACTTGATTTTTTAAGCGTAAGATATAGTTAAAAAAATTTAAATGTAGAAAATTTTAATATTGAACTAGTTTTTTTGAAGTTTTACTCGCATCCTATTAAAGTTTTAGAATATTTAATAATATTGAGAGTTGTAAGAAAATTGCAAAAAAATTTTGTGACATATTTTCAAGAATAAAAAATTCATAAGTATTTGTATTGCACCTGAAAACATGCTTTTTTTAGATAAAATATATATTCATAAACTTTGCTGTAAAAGAAATTGTAGAAAAAAATTATTTTAGCATTAAAATTACTTTAAAAAATTGTTTGCTTCTACGTATTTTTAAAGAGTAATTATTTATTCAATTCCCATTTTATTTTTGCTTAAAAAACTTTGTAAATAGAAACTTTTGTACATTAAAAATGTTTTCATGACGTTTTTTGTTTAAAAAAATTTAAAAAAAATAATTAATTATTTAAAACATTTTAATATTTTTGTTTGAATTATTTTAAAAATAGTTAATAGCTATTGTAAACTAAGAGCTTTTATTACAATCCAAGTTTTAGGGCAAAAAGTGTTAGAACATTTTTTATACATTAATGATGTTTTCAGAATTTTTCCGTATAAACATTTTTTGAATAAAAAAAAAAATTGCGAAATAAATCTTTAGCTATTAAAAATATTATTTTAAATTTTGTGCCTTGAATTGCTAAACATAAATTTAAAAGTTTACTACATTTCTGACCATAGAAACGTCCCTTTTTGGCAAAAAAAAAAATTTAACTAGAAAATTGTCGACTTTCAGCAGTAAATTGTGGCACTGTAAATCTAAAGTGAAAACAATTCAAATAATTTTGCAATATTTTAAGTTTCTACTTAAAGATTTTTCAATAAAAAATATGTTTAATTTGTTATGCTAGAAAGGCGAATTATTTTCTTCCAAAAAATAATAACAAGAGTGTCAAATTAATTATAAATTTCATATATTTGCATATAAAAGTGAAAAATAAAGTTTATACAAATAAAAAAGTAGCAACTAACTTATGCATAAACATTCTTAACACACAAAAATGATTTGTACTCTCTTTAGGGAAAATAAAATATTTGCATCCAGCGCACAATTTTTATATTTATACTTTTCAAACGCACTGTTTGTCAACATTTTGCGTGTTTCGTCATATTATTTTCAATAATTCAAATAATTTTGTTGCCTTATAATGTAACTACATACATAGTTTACTCTATACACACACATCTGTATATATTTGTTATAGGTTTGTAATTTGAAATTTTCGATATAGAATCGCTACTGTATACAATACAATCACACATCAAGTCACTACTTGCACATCATATATATATTTAATTTTTTAATTTACTCATCTTTGCTGTGTTTGGCCACTAAACATTTAGATTTTTTTTTATGGATTTTTTGCATATTAAAATTAAAAATTACTAAAAATTATTTGCAATATTATTTTTTCACGCTCAACTGTTAATTCGATTAATTGTCTACACTTTTGTTTATATTTTAAGATTTTTTTATAAATTCCCTCATTTGAAATGGTATAAGACGAGTAATTAGATTACAATGCTAAAACTGCTTAAACGACATCTAACTCATATTACACATACACTTACATATATCAGATTAATTTCTGGTAACTACATTACTTATATATCTACATACATGGTATTTTTAGAAAAAATATTAGGAAAACTTAAACTAATTGCGGCATAAGCCTTGGCTGTTGCCACTTTACATAGAAGACCGCACAATTGCAGTTTGTGTGTATGTGTGTTTAATATGGGTTTTCTTAATGTGCAGAGGTTGCACATGCGCAGAGCGCAACTTATATTTTTGTGATTTTCAAGTGTGTGTGTGTGTGTTAATTAATTTTCAGATTTCTTTAAAGCTTTTAGTATTTATTGATGCATTTCCCGTTGCACGCAAACATTTTCTCCTCTCACAAATTACATTCCCTGCGTATCTCTCTCGCGACGACAGCGCCTCACAGCCTGAGTAACACTACAGTAATAATTGTTGTTGCTCACTGCTGCTCGCGTGATGATGATGATGGTGGTGGTGATGATGGTGATGATGATGATGGTGATGGTGGTGATGATGCGGCTCACCATTGACGCTGCGCAGCGCATTGGTGGTTGTGCGCTGGCAGCATTCATCACTTTGCGGCAGCTCAAGCTCGCAATCTTCTTGTTGCTCTTGTTGCAATTGCTGCTGCTGTTGTTGTTGCTGTTGCTGCTGCTGCTGCGGCACCACAACGCTGCAGTCATTTTGTTGCGTGCGTCGCAAAGTGCCGGACATGTAGTCCAAGGTCTTTTCGATGGCGCGCAGCCGCTTCTCTAGCGATGTTGTAGCCAGTATATCCACCTGTGAAACAAGGGGGGAAAAAGGCGGTCAAAACTTGCATAAATTGAATGCGTTTGTGTTTATAATTTACCTTCAATTGCTGATTGAGCGGCAGCAATGCAATGATCCACCATGCCCACGCTGGACCATCAGCAATGGTCTCCCAGTTCTCCTCCACCGCTGGCATCTGGCCGAGGCTTTGCAATATCTCTTGCTTCAGTTCGGTGCTGAGGCTTTCGAACCAGTCAATGGCTTTTGCCAAAACGATCGCATGCATATTGTTCACCGTCTTCACCATCTCATCGGGTATGGTTTCATCGTAGATATATTCCACTTTGGCCGTTTCGTAGCCATCCTTCTCGTTGCGTGCTAAAATTTTGAAGCGCTTGCAACCCACCGTGCTGAGTATGGAGCAGCCATCACCGAGCAACACACAGTCACGTATGTCCAGCATAGTGCCTACATCGAAGTAACGTGATTTACCGCTATTCGGCTGTACAATGCCGAATTGCTTCTCACCCGATTCAACAGCGCGACGCACCATTAATCGATAGCGTGGCTCATACACGAATAGCGGACATGGTACGTAGGGGAAGGCGGTTGTACAAATGAAGACCGGCACCGATGGCTCCAAATCGATCTCTTGCTGAAAACGTTTCTCGTAGTTGTCTGGAATGAATCGTTTCATTGCGGCTTCAAGAAATTTGGTCACAGGCCGCTTGGCCACAATGAAGGGAACGGGCGAGGATGAGCCCTGATACATGGTATTGACATTTGGTTCCACAAGTGGCGACATGCACAATGGACACGAGGAGGTGTAATCCATGCAACGATCCAAGCATACCCGGCAGTAGGTGTGACCGCATGGTGTCACCACCGGCTTCCAGAAGGTGCGGCAACACAGCACACAATCGAAATCACTGGCATCCACAAGACCGGCTGGCGCTTGCAACATTTGCTTCTGTGGCGCACCGTTAGCCAAATCGAGCTCTGCAAATTTTTTCTATTATAAAATATACTGTACTCTTTTAAATGTTCAAATACTCACTTTTCAATCGCTGCAGCTCTAGTTTCGCCCGCTCCAAAGTGCTGCGAAACAGCGCACTGTAGTGCACCTCTTCCAACGACGAACTCAATGTGGGCACCAGCTCCGTCTCCTTGGGCGTCCATTTCCGACGAAAATGTTTACGCGATGCTTGTCGTCGCAGCTCAATATCGAAGTGTTTCTCCATGCCGGCATAGATGGAGAAACGCTTATCCATGAGCGTGTCGCCGATACCTGAGATATAGCCGGAAATATTGGCGTTACCGCCGCCCACACCATCACCCACACCGACACCACCAAGGTCTCCGATGGCGCCATCCATTGGTGTTAGATAGTCGCCATCTGCGACAATATCACATTTATTACTGTCATACGGTATGAACTCGTCATCGTATGAGCTCAGATGATCGCCATTGGCATTGCTCAGCAGAGCGATTTGTTTGCGCCGGCGCAATTGTTGCTCCGCCGAGAGTAATTTGTAAGGAACTGCGGCCACAGCAGCGGCCGAGCTGAAGGTACGCTGTAGCAGCGATTTGCTTTTCGGGGTTTGGGCGAGAAGTTTCTGCAAATTCTGTAAGAAAAAAGTGGTATTTTATTGAGTTGTATTTAGAAGATTGATAGTCTATCGGTGAATTTAGTAAAGCATTGAAGGGAAATCCGTTCCCTAAATCCGAAAGTCTATTAAAAGTCTCTGCAATTTAACATTCTATACTTTCAACTTTTTGGAAGGCTATGGGCTAAATGCGGGTTGGATTTAAATTTCATAATATCCTAGATTTTTGTTTATAGATTTTATATAAGGACACCAGATGTTAGAACTTATTCCTAGTTACTAGTTTATACCAGCGCTTAACATACTAAATTAACAGGATTCTATCTCAATTCGCAAGTTCGACAAAAAGTATATATTCCGATAACATCCAGCTCCATCTGAACCTTACCGGAGTTCAAATGAATCTCTTGGCCTTACAAACTTACAAACTCAAAATATTGGATTCTCGAATTTTGAAGCATTAAAAAGCGTTTTAAATTCTTAAACTGTCTGTTTTTCTCTCGACAATGACTTTTTTTAAATTCCTCTCCTAACCTCACAATTATTTTAACTTCTTAAATTGGAGCAAACTTTCAGTCTTACCTTTGCGAGATCATGTTGAAATAGTTCCGAACTAGTGAGTAAAGTGTCCCTGTCGAGACTAATGGCCAGACAATTGTCGTAGAGTGCCTCATCACAGCGGCCTAGATCACATAAAGCCAGAGAGCGTAGATAATGAGCCTAAAATAAATAAAATTTTTAGTTTTATATTTAAAGTTTATCTGAATTTATTATCGGTTTTACCTTCGCTGATGTATGGCGTATCTTCAATGCGTTCTCAACATCGGCCAAAGAGCTTTGGAAATGATTGAGCTTACGCAGGACTTCGGCGCGCAATAATAAGCTTTTGAAATTGGATGGAGCTAAAAAAATAAGAAAATGAAATATATATTAATGGACGATATATTATAATTACTTAGACTAAAGGTACTTAAATTTGTAAATTGAAAAAAGGGTCGAGTGACCATAGAGCCCGCCAAGAAAAATCTTTAATTAATGCCAATTTAAATAGAGATGTCAAAAAAATTCTAACAAGCGCGCTCATTGTGCCATTATGCGGTTGAGTTAGCCAAACTATGACGTACGTGGGGGGCGCACACATACATTTCCAAACTAAATTGCACAAATGAACTTTTAGAGTGGTCGAAAATATGCGCTGTCAATTTTTGAGTGGCTGACAGTGAAGCGCATGGACACACCGCACTACGCACCGCAGACAAACAGATTAGGTGGTTGTGCGGCGAAGGCGGCGGTAGAGCGACGACAATAAGTAGCCGGTGCTTGACGCGCTGCCAACAAATAATGGTGGGTGCAACCGTGAAATGTCGTGGAAAATTGTATAAATAAAATAAAGTTAAGCAGCATGTCCATTGATGATTACGAAATATGTATACCATTCATTTTGCGCTCATTATATTAAGCATGCAAAAACAACAGCAGATAAAAAAAAATTATTTCACGTTATTTAATTTTTTCGTAAAACAAAAATTAAAGCGGGCTCTTGTGTGTGGTCAGTATAGAGCGTCCGTCCACGCATCATTTAACGTCACTTAGCAAGAAGTGCGCGCAAGAGGCAGCGCGCAGCGTAGCAGATACAATGTCGCTTACTGTAATATCAGCATGCAGAAAACACAAAAAAAATTTTCCACAGTCGTCATTTGTTAAGCTAATTTTCTTGCTTGCTATTCTTCAACTAAATTTTTGCGTTCTTTAAGTCATCGCTGCCGGTACGCTGTCAAGCGGCGAGCGCGTGCGCCCTCTAGCTGCTGCTACGCTAATGTGCAAATTGACGCCAATCAACGACTGATACTCCGTGTTGTTGTTTACTAGCGCCAACCAATACCAATGTTTATGGCAAAGCGATTGTCCATTGTGCGCTAGCAATATAAGCGCGCGCACCGCGAACCACCCACAACTAACAAAGCGGCAGCCGCAATCCTGTTACGTTTACAATGATCCGCGCTACTTAGCTGTACGATTACATCGGCGGCGCCAACAAATGCAATACCGCTATTGCACAAGCGATTGCCGCATGCCTTGTTGCGGTCGTGCGCTCGGTTACATTTGCGCTATATGCGCGCACAGAGCGCGCATGCCGTCATACTCGATTTATATTTACCTTAGCGTTGACTGCTTACATATGTGCATTTTTATTATTTATTTGTTGATTGCATTTCACATTGTTGTTCTTTATATTTTATGTAAGATATTTTCCTTTTCGTCGTCCCTATTGCATAGGCGCATCGCTGAGGTCGTGCCGCTTATCGCAACCGGTTTCATGATGTTGCCGCTGTTATTTAAGACATATTTTATTATGTGTGTATAAGTGTATATATGTGATGGATTTCAATTAGCGGCGGTGACACCACTCGAGGCAAAGGTAAATTAGTTATTGCCTCGTCCGTGTAGCTATTTTATGTATATTAGTTTATTTTTATGCAAATTGAGCGCGCTGCGTATACGTAATTATTCGGAAAAAGATTCTACAAAACACATTTGCAATGCAGGAATAATTTGTTCATTTTGAATGATATTAACAAAATGCCTCGGGGAACATCAAAAATGCGAGAATGAGCTTTGCACCTAGTTACATAAATTTGAAGAAGCTTAGCGATCGCAGGCAAAGTTATTGGAATATTTGCACAAAGTGAATGCAATAACGAGTAAGTTACATAAAATCGGCAATATTGGTGATTATATATGTTAAAATGACTTTAAGTTGCATATATTTGATTAACTCAGGAAATTGTCTTAAAATTCATTAATTTTTTCCTATTATTTGAGATGGTCGCCTGTTACTTTGTGTTTTCTACAATAAGCAATTATTTATTGGAAACCTTTCATTCAAAAATAGAAAAAAAATATTAATGGAAATGCGATTGAAACGCAGGAAGTTTTCTAGCTTTATATAAAAGTAACCAAAAGGCTCGAAGAGTTTTTGGATTTTTTTAAATTGTAAAAATAAGTGTGTATTGCCCTCATTAAGGCGCAGAGTGAAAAATTGAATAGTACTAAATCAAATATCTAAGCAAACATGATTAAAATTATTCAATCTCTTTGATTGATTTGAAAGTCTTTTCACAAAGTATTACATACAAAGTTATAAAAAAAAAAAATACTTCTTAAATCAAAACAGTGAGAAGCAGAAACAGAAATTTAAGTGTATTGTGATACATTGAAAAACTGACAAGCTCCAAATCGCCATCAAAACGCTTATAGATTAATGAGCTCATATTGCCTACATTTCGGCGCAAAGTGAAAAATAAAATACTTCAGTAAACTTGTATTTAAAAATTTAGAAAAGGTTATTAGTGCAATCACAAGCTTTTGGCTGTTAGATATACAATTTGACCTTCCATAAAAGTATTGTTAAATTAGTACAATAAAATTTTGTATAATAGGATAGAATAGGATTCTGTTGCCTACATTTTGGCGCGGAAAATATAAAATTGTTGAAATGGAATTAGAGGCAATATATAATTATTTTATAATTGCGATAATAAGAAAATAATTTTTAACAGAAGAACTAACCTTATTTTTAGCAAGAATCCGATAATATTATTATATGAAGACTTGAGTGATATATGGTCACGGCAAGGTAAGTCTTTTATACAAAAAAAAAAAAAAACAACCAAACAAAACAAGGGAAGGACCTCTGATGGTTGATTACACAAGATAGCTATCAAATTTTTGTTTGCTATTGTTGACATATTAAATTATTTATTTATTTTCGTTTGAATTAGTACTACAAGTATTTTCAGCAAAATTATGTAATTAGTGAAGACATTCAATAACAATTCTTATGGGTAGAGGAGCTTAAAAAGTGTAACCCAGAAATATTCTAATATTATTACATTAGAAATAATAATTTCTAAACTGCATATTTTCCATTACTTATTCATTTTAGCCTTCATGTTACAGTTAGGTAAAAAAATATGAATTCAGCTTAGCGTTTGACTTCGCCCTTATAAATTGCCCCAGCTTCAAGCATTTGTCATAAATTTCCCTCTTAATATTGAAAAGATGCCAACCATAAAATCCCTACCTTCCATTCATTATTAGACTATCACGAGATTCGTGGATAAAGTCACGTACGCCAGCCTTTATTTATAGACATATATTCATTGTATACTTGCACAATTCTTTCATAAATTATATAAATTCTTAATATAAATATATTTTACCAAAATCGCATGGGGCTTCTGCAAACACATAACACAAAGTATTTCCATGCATTTTAGGTACAAATAATTATGCAACATTTTATATGATTGTTTATCAGGGTTAAATGGGTAGGGGCTCCATTAATGTGCTACCAAAAATTTCTCTTTTCTGTAAAAATCTCAATAAATGTTAATTCTTAACATAAAACATCGTTTACAGTCACTTAACAGCAAAGAGAAATTAGCTATTTTAATTTAACCTCAACTATGGTATGTTAAATGAGTTTGTAACAGCACGAGCGCCTGCTGCAGAGCGTGAGATATGCTCAACAGCACTGCATAACATTACGCAACTCGTATTGTTGTTGTAAATTTGGTACTTTGCTTCTTCACTCGCTGCTATTGTTACGTTTGCGATTATGACTGAAAATTGTTGTCTTTGCTATTGATGTTATTGCTTTTGTATTGGCGATGCACTGTTACCAAGCGCTGTTATTAGCGCTCTGTTTATTTACATACATACTTGTATTTTTATATACTTATGTACTTGGCTGTGTGTGTGGTATGTTTGCGCTTAATTTGCAAGGAAAAATAAACGGCCAGCAATTCCAGTAGCCAATACTCATGAATATGCATGGTATGCAAATGCAGAGGTAGGTATGTTTTACGAATGAGTGCTTTTACACGGGCACAGCTGTAAGTGGTCACAATTTTTGCGGGTAGAGGGGGAGCACTGTTGGAAAATTGTGGAAGGCTGTGCGGTGGTTTGAAACCTTGGACATAGAAATAAAAATATTGCTTGTTTCTGCTTTTACGAGTGAGCGTCAGAAATTGGACGCTGAGGAGTTATCGAGTTGTAATGTTGTGAATTTCTATTTAAATTTAATAATTCTATTAATATTTAATCATAAAACCTGCAATTTTCTCGCATGTAGTTTTCATTTAAAATATAATATTTTTTGGCTTTAACAAATAGTTTTGAAACATTTGTATTTAATTTATATTTTTATAATATAGGGTGTTGCCATATGTATGTACATACAGAATAAAAACTGTTGTTCTATAATGTTTGTTGTAAGTTAAAAATGTTAAAAATTTAGCAATAATAAAGTACTAATGTCTTAAAAATAAATAATAAATTGTGTTTAGGGTTGCCACCTATTTTGAATCTACATTTGTATATAAAATGAAAACAAAGAAAATAGTTTTTAAAAGGCATTATAAAAATATTTCAAAAGTCTTAAATATTTTTTGTTCACTATTGCCATATTTAAATAATTTATATTAAATTATTACTACAATATATAAAATGCATTTTTATGAACAGACTAACACAATATAACTCTTAACTATGTCAACTCATGTAGTAATTATTATTTAAAAAATTAAAAGTTATTTTAGAACAATTTAACCCAGGTACGGATTGAAAGAAACAAGTTATGGGTATGCCATCCTCTTATATTACACAATTTTATTGCTATTCAAAGAGTAAAAAAATGTTATTAATAAGAAAACATTTAAATATAGTCATTTAAAAATTAATCTAGTTTATATTTATAAAGGGGGTGTCCATAAGCACCCAATTTTTATTTATAATATGAATATTGTGAGTTTGCATTGAATTTTCTTAAAAGAAACGGTTTTAGATTATGTGTGTCAATAAATATATATATATATATATATGTGTGGGTATAATCCGG